ATGGCAGAGGGCTAGAGCAGGGGTCGGTGCTGGGGTGGGCTCGGGTCGACTTCTGCCCTGAACCCCCTGCACCATGGGCCTGCCCGAGCCCGGCTTGCAGAGATGAGGGTCCCACCTGGGCTCAGCCACAGCCCGGTGCTTGCGCTTGAGTCTGCTGCCACCATCGCAATAGGTCCCACAACACCGGCACGTCAAGAAGTGCTTGGCTCGGTGTTTGGCCTTTGATTCGGGGGCTGGGACCACCCCTCCGGGAACGAAAATCCCAGCTGGGGCGCCCCGTGGGTCGGGCTGCCCTTTCAACCGGCTCCTTCTCCTCTGGATGGGATCCAGGCTAATGTCCGACTGGGAGGAGCAGCTCTCGTTCCAGCCGGTGCCGGCGGTCATGCTGCTCCCGTTTTGAGCCGCAAAGCCTTCCAGAACTGGGAGCCGGAGCGCTTGGACTTCTCCCCCTTCCAGGTGACGAAGGAGACGGATTCCTTCAGCTGGAGGATGCTGGGGTGGGTGCACTGCAGCGGCCTGTACTCAACCACAATGAGCTTGGTGGCGATGGCGTTCTGGCACATGATGCCCAGCTTGAACTCCAGGAGGCTGATGCTCTTCTCCGTCAAGTAATCAGGACTCAGGACCACAATCATCCTGCGGCTCCTCTGGATGAAGTCGAAAACGGCTTCGGTGGTATCTAAGAGCGCAAGGGCAGAGGAATTGAGGTGCACAAGGGAGAGGGAGCAGGGAGAGAAAAGCTGAAGGAAGCAGTTTGGTGACATTCCTGCACAGATTCCCCCTTCCCACAGAGGGAAACCTGATGCAAACCCAGCGACTTTCAGCTTGCCCACGCTCCTGCTGGCAGGGACTACAGGGGCAATAGCAGCATTTTTGCTTTGCAGTTGGTTTTTGGGAAGTTTTTCGGGAAGGCTGAAGTGGTAAATGAGAAGCCAGGATAAGCCAGGGCTGTACTCTGACTTCTGCCCTGCACGGCATCACTGCTACTCAGGGCAAGGCTGGCATTTGATAAAGGGCGAGTCTTGCTGGGGCTGCCCACAGCTCTGGCAGCCCTTTGCATGGGGAGAACAAAGTGAAACAATCTTGTAATCACGCCACAGTTCGCACTGCCAAGCCCAAGACCCACCTCTCTCCCTCTCATGATCTCTCATCCAGAAATGGAACCCTCCAAACTCAGAAAGCAAAAATGTCAGCCTGAAGCCTCTCCATCAGTTCCCCTACTTGTGATGGGTGGGTGAAAATACTGTCCTTCAAAGGATTTCTGGGGATTAATTGCAGTTTGTAAAGCTCAGCAAGATGCTTGGCTGGAATGGTGCCAGGCAAGGGCAGCATCTTTTATTATGTATGTTGAAAAGCAGCAAACCTGAAGGATGTCATTGGGCTTCTATCTATGGCTTAGGATGCTGTAAGCATATTAAAGGTGTCATGGCTAATGGGTGAGCAGTAGAAAGCATTGGAATTAATAGGGCTGCAGCACTTAGCAAATTAACCCAATATGATTAACAGAACTGTAAAAATTGAAAAAATCCCCACCCACTTAATGAGTGCTGGTGTCTGGGATGGTGCAGGGACACACCTGAGGATAATGTGGTATTCAGGCAGGACCAGAAGCACTGGAGTAAGAGCTCTTGCATACTCAGGCAAGAAAATACCTTACAGGAATGGCTTGCAAAGAGATGTTCTGGGGAGAAGAGCTCCCTGCTGCTTCCATCACCTTTTGCACCTCTAAAGCATCAGTTCCTCAGTCTGGAGAATCCTCTCCCTCCCTGCTAGTGGAGCCCTCGTCTTTCGTATAAATAAAAATACTGCTCCTTCCCTGCAATGGCAATGCCTCTTATTCTTTCCAACATTTGTCTGTCTTCTTACCTCACAGAAGAAGGTGCATTGTTGTACCTGAATGCATCTTGATACTTTACAGAACATTATTTTTTTCCAGAGATATATGACTAGCTGTAAAACTCATTGTCACTAGATTATTTGGAAACAGGAACTTGGGAAAGGGAAACCAGATGAACAATAGTCTCCTAATGGAGAAAGTAAGGCACCATTTGGTTCTTTAACATAATACTAGGGTTTAAAACAAACTATTTGGAACATTGTTTTCTTGTATACAAAATTTGGAGGGATTTCTGCCCATTGTGACAGACATAGGAAAACACCGATCAACTGAAGCCAAATGTAGATGAACTCAGTTCTGTCAGAATTGTCACTTAATGCTATGAAACATTCTTACCACCTTATTTCAAAGGCACAAAGAATTGGCAGCAATCTCCGAATTTACTGCGTCCAGTCCTCATTCAACCCTTTCTATAGCTGATTGAGATCTATTTTGAAATCAGACAAGCTTCGACATTTTGTGGAAGAAGAAAAAGCTGCTTTGCTGGTTTGAAAGCTCTTTCTTTGGGAAAATGGAATCACAGAATCATGGCAAAATGTAGGCAGGAGCAGCCCCTGGGAGGTCTCCTATCCTACCTGCCTGATCAAAAAGCACAGGCTCAATTAATGTGGGTGATTCCAACACTGCTGAAATGAAATGTTTTGATTGAGCTAACACTGATGGTTTTCTTTAATCAATTTTGAATTTGCAACACGTAACAGTTTTAGGCAGGGAAAATGCTCAAATTCCCAAAGATATATTTTATTCCTGAGAATAGGATGCATCCAGACTTGGCTGGCCGGCACAGCTTGGGATAGCTTGCGATGTTCAGTTTACAATGTATTCCCAGCTCATGAAAAATTCTGGGTAGTCACTTCACAGTGTGCAGGCCGGATGGTCCCTCCCAGCGACACCAGCAGCACAGGACAGGACAGGCAGCAATAAAGCTACGGATTTTGGGTACCAACAGAGCTGGAATTTGATACTTTCAGCTATCTGCTTTATACTAAAAAACTTCCACCTTTACTACGTGGTTGTGAAGACACTGCATATTTTTTTTGGTTTACTTGTCTACCTGAACACACCCCAGAGATGTAACAGAGGATTATGAGACATGCATTTGTCCCAGCCCAATGTAACCCGTGGGGCCATAGGTCCCCATAGCCCCCAGATCCCTAGAAGGTCACAAGTATTTATTTCGCTAGTGGTCTGGAAGAGCTAGGCACTCTCTCAACTTACCTGCTAGTATGGAAACAAGGGAAAAAGCCAAGAAAGTGGTTTGGACGAGAAAATATGAAGCTGAAGGGACATTTTCTACCCAACTACCTGAAAGGAAACCTAAGAATGAGTTTCATTTCTGTGGTTAGGGCAGATTTCCAAGATTTCTGTTTCAACACTCTGGCTTGGTCTCCCAAGCAAAGGAATGGTGTTTCCCTCCCATCTCTCCATCTGTGATTGCCGAGTGAGGGCTCTTCAGGTCAGAGACTTTCTGTGTGTGCATGTCCACTGCTGGGTGACACTTGAATGCTGCATGTCACCGTGTTTCTGCTTGCGTGGCCCTGGTAGCAGTGGTGGTGCCTCAGCATCTCCACAGGCACACCATGAAATAGAGAGGAAAATGCTCCCATCTAAGGAGATGTCCCCAAATGTTCTCAATGCTTGGACTACACACAGTCATCTTTCTTTGACAGCCCTTCGCAGATGTAATGGGGAGGAAAATGATACTTATGAGAAATGCACAAGGACTGAAATACAAAAACAAAAATGTTTTATTGAAAAGCAAAATAAAATAATACTGACACTTCACAGGCCAAGTAACACAAAGGCAAAAACATACAGAAAAGAGAAGGGAAAAATCTGGAAGAGCTGTACAACATCAAATGGCACGTGGCGAGGAAGATTTTTTTTCCAACTTGTGCCACACTGTTTCCCCGTGAAGTAACAATGAGGAGGTTTGCATGAGCTGCATATTGATAAATGTTAGGTTAGAGCACAGAAACTCAAATGAATCAACTGAACTAGACAGATGCTGTGACAGAATCCCACAATGGAAACCACATGCGGCACAGGATGAAATGGCAAGGCATATCTGAGGTGTTTTGCAGGTCTGTATTACAGCTGGGACTGGGCTTTACCCCTGGCCTGACAGCTCCCAGCAAAGCCACTGGTAAAGCTCCTGGGGCAGCAGAGCCAGAGAAAGTCCTGGTCTATTTTTTTTTTTTTTGAAAATTCTTTGAATAAAATCAGTAAAATAGATTAGGTGGATTTAACTTCCTAAAATAATCAGACTTTCTAAAACATCAGCAGAAGTTCTCTTGGTACCTCAGCCAAAAGTGAGATGTGACATAGTAAGGTCTGCAATGTTAATTGAATTTATGCATATTTTTGAGTCTAGTTTTTAAAAATCAAATAAGAGTTTAACACAGTTCTGCTTTGGCCTCAGGGCCTTCCCTCCGTCTGCAGATCCAGCAGCCAATTACAGAGATACTGAAAACACAAACAAAAAGGTGAAGCTGGGCAAGATAACATGGTTGCAATGGTTTCACAAAGCTGAGCATGGGTTTGGGTGCTATCTTATATAAATGAAGCTTTCTGGAGTGTGGGAAGCAGCTCTGACCCTCCACAGCCAGCCACGGTAGAAAAACTCATTAATAGGAAAGCTTTTTAAGCACCTCTGAGCAGGTGAGGGGCTCTACTACCTTCAGTGAAGCTGACTGCATTGTCACCTGCTTAAAGCAAAGCTTACTTGGAGTGGGGAGCAAGGTGAGAAAGCAGCTCTTTTTGTTCCATATTTGTACAGTATCTGTCCAATGGCATCGGTGGCTGCAGCTCCCTACCACCCTGTAATTAACTTTATTAATTGTAAGATGCTAAGAGCAAGGGGTTTTAGTCATGCCAGGATGCAGCCCCACACTTTTAAGGTTAGCCTGTTTACTGGGATGCTCTCAAACCTCCCTGCTCAGCTTGGTGAATAGTGCATAGACTCCAAATTGTAGTGCTTTTTTACTGCCATTATGAATGGATATGCTTCATCCACTGGACACCAACAGAGCGAAAGCATGAGTCAGAAGTGACTCAGGAGCAACCATTATCAACAAAAAATAAGCATGCACTTAGTGTGTGTAATACTGAATTACACAATTAAGTGGGCAGGCACCTGCATTGGGAGCTACAGGAGTATAGAGACACCTCCAGAGTTTGTAGTTTTATGTACCTTGTGAACAACAGTACCAGTCAATGCCAGGGCCCTGCTGTGCTTTGGTCTGTCCTACAAGGGAAGGGACACTCCCCTCCCTGGTCTGAAAAGCCTGTCTGCTGGGGGTTAACTCACCAGGCCCCCTCCTATGCCTGCTGCCCCCTGTTGAAGCAAGGACTGGTACTCAGTGGGGTTTTTTTATATTTCCATTTAGTGCAAATGTTGCAGAAGCTGAGACACATCCTCTGTTCTACAGCTGTGGGCTGGAAACAAGATGAGTAAAGATTTGCTTTGTAATGCCAAGGCTAGTTTAAACCTGAGCCCTGAACTACAAATGATGTTGTTCATACCCAGAAAACACTGAGCGTTCATAGAACAGTTTGAGTTGGAAGGCACCTTAAAGGTCACCTAGTCCAACCCTCTGCAGTGAGCAGGGACATCTTTAACTAGATCAGGTTGCTCAGAGCCCTGTCCGACACAACCTTGAACGTTTGCAGGGACACCACCTTTCTGGGCAACCTGTTCCAGTGTTTCACCACCCTCATTGTAAAACATTTCTTCCTCACATCCAGTCTGAATCTAGCCTCTTTTGGTTTAAAACCATTACCCTTCATCCTGTTGCAACAGGCCCTGCTAAAAAGTCTGTCCTCATCTTTCTTTTATGCCCCCTTTAAGTACTCGAAGGCCTCTATAAGGTCTCTCCAAAGCTCCTCTTCTCCAAGCTGAACAACCCCAACTCACTCAGCCTTTCCTCATAGTCTTACCCAGCTGGACAGGGCTAGTGGTTTTTAATAAGTTCAGAGAAGTTTGCAGTGTCTCCTGGGGAGCTGGACACATACCCAGTGTCACCCCAGAGGCCTTGGCAGCACCTTGCATAATGCCTTCCCCCAGCCAGCAGCATGGAGACAGTAGGTGCGTTCAGTAGTAAACTGGGGTCCCTTGCAGTGCTTCTGAAATCCCTGAGTTTACTCTGCTAAGAGGTATCTCTCAGACACGCTCCTTGGCCTGTATGAACGAGAGATTTCCCCCAGATTATGAGCATTACAGCCCTGAAGGATCTGGGGTACTCTGGGGAGTGCTGAATCACAGAGACTGACCATTTAGTAGAAGAAATGCTACAATACAAATATCACCTAGCAGAGGGGTTTTTTGTTAGTTTTTAAAAGCTTTTGTAACAGCCATTTCACATTGCCAAACTATCTGAATGCAGAAACGTGGGGAGCAAAGATAAGGAGCCTCAAGAGTCTACGCTCCCCTTACCAAAGGAGAAATCTGTGATCCCACAGTGATGAGGGCTTTATAGCTGGGACATGTATGAAAGGGTCTATACAATGAAGTCACCTTTCAACCTGTTCCCCAACCTCCTCAACAGGAACCAATAACCAGGATGGAGTGAAGCCACTTAAGAGAGGAAAGGAGCTCTGTCCTGGATCCTAATGACAGTCCCATAGGAACCAGATCTAGGAGTACTGGCTACACAAATACCATGCTACCACAAGGTGCTGTCTGCATCCACCTGGATAGCCCAAATTTAGACCTTGAGCACAAGGCATGTGTAGCTAATGACAAGGACATGCGCTTGCAGAAAAGAGGCGTATGCATCTTTGGTCTCTCTTCTGCCAGGGCAGTCGAAAAGCTGCAGTGAGGCATGACCGTCCTCTAAAATGCTTGGGACATAGTCCTTCATGGCAAAAACCACGAGTTCATTCCCACTTCCTGGCCTAACTTGTGGATGTTTGGGGTTTGGTTTGGTTTGTTTTCTGACGGCGTCAAACATTTTTCAGGGATACGCATGAGCCCATCAAGGCTCAAACTCCTGCTAATTTTTTTCACTGGCATTTCCACCTGCAGCTGCTTCCAGAACCTGCCCTTTGGGAACTTGGATTTCTCGCCTTTCCATTTAATGACAGTCAAGGCCGCCTTGGCCTGCTTCAGCTCCTTCACTTTGCTCTTCTTGATGGCTTTGTACTGCACTAGAATGACTTTGATGCTGCCCTTGGAGGCCATATTCTCTAGGCCAGCCTTGAGCTCCAGCAGGGCCTGTGTCCCCTGCAAGACGTAGTTGGGGCTCAGGACAACAAGCAGATGCCGGCTTTTCTGGATGAAGCTCAGGGTTTCGTCTGTGACAACTGGGAGAAAGAAACATTGAGGTGGTTAGTGATGGCTGAGAACATGCTGCTGAGCTGCTGGTGTGACACCATGTGACTCTTGAGGGGGACAATAAAATCCTCTAGAGACCTTCTCCAGAACTACACTGGTGCTTCCCAGCCTTGCAACCAATTCCAAGTAGGGCTTCCTACACCATTGCCGGTACCCACTGCCCCATACAGTGACATCTTCTGCTCCCAGCCCCAGGCTGCCTACAAACATGTTTCCTCCTCCCCACGCCATGCAGAGATGCCTGAGGTAGCTACATCTAAAAGGCACTGTAGTATGTGTCAGTGACATCACCCAATACTGTGAGAATGCCATGTGGCCAAGAGGGCTGCTCTGGCAGGCTCAGATGTAGCTTCCCTCTACTAAGACTGGAAGAATAGGCTCTCTGGAGCAAAGTAAGAAAGATGCCAGGTGGGCAACACGTGACTTCAAGGGAAAGACTCGGCCTGAAGAGGCATCAGGAAGCTCAAGTGTCTACAGCTACATCCTCCTCTGGCAGACGTCCAAAATGACCCTGGGTAATCCTTTCACAGCTCTTGCCTTGGTTGCCCCACACCGAACACACAGTGTCCTCATGGGTTACTTTCCTTCAGAAATACTACCATCATAATGCCTGTTCTTCATCCAGCTGCTCCTGTTGCTGTCATTAATGAAAGCAGATTTGAGTGCTTCTAGAAGTGACAAAGTAAACTGCTCTGAGGACTTCTAATGAAGTGTCTCAAAATTGAGACCCTCTGAGCTGGAGACATATCACAGTAACTGTGGATTCCCTTTGATTTTCTAACATCTGCAGGTAGACTGTCCTTGGGCACCTTTCTGTGATTAATGTGAAAATTCCTTGTAAGTGTGGACCCTAGTGCTTGCACTCTCTGCTGCAGGACCTCCCACACTTCATTGACAAAGAAACACCCTTGACTAGTCAGAAAATACAACAGAGAATAAAATAATGCTGACAGGCAACTTCATTTAGCTGTCAAGCATGTTCGATTAATTCCTGTCAGCAAACTCACAGGATAATCCATCTCCCACTGTTTCTTCATCAAGGACAACATAACTCTCTACCCGTGACACAGATGCACACTCTGGAGGCATGACACCAGCTGCCAAAAGCTATTTCCTTGCCCAAGAAGAAGATTAGTCAAATCCTAGCTAAGAAGCAACGGGGAAGCCCCAGGAGCGCTGCGAACGGCAGTGCAATGACGAGCTCCGCAGGGCTGGTGCTGGACTGAGGCTGGCAGTGACTGCCACATTGAGGGTGAAGGGCTGGGAGCCCAGGAGAGCTGTGCTAGGAGGAAAATGAGACCCTCCAAAAGGAAATGGGAAGGATGGCAAGAAACAGCAGAGCAAACAGGAGTTGTCTTGAGAAACAACTGGTGAGAACAGCCCAGAGCAAACCTGCTCTGAGCCTGGCACTGGCATCAAGCAAATAGATTCCGGAGGGTGCCCTCCCACATCATTCAGGCTCTCCCTAGAAGGAACAGCAGCAGGACTGCAGCTGTCTCCCTGTCCCCTGAAGCATGCAAAGACCTCAAACTTAGAGGTGTTTTGTCCTGGCAACGATCTAGGAGATAAAGATATCGGATCTCAGGCTGATTCTGCTCCTCTGACACGCAGCTAGGCTGGGGCTCCAGCAGTCCCTCCTGTCCTACCTGAAGGGACCCCAATGAACTTTATCAGCACAGGTTCCATCATCTGTGGGGTCCTGACCCAAGGCCCATCAGTACAAAGTGGGGCAATCTGCACTGGCAGAAGGTTTGAACTTTTAGTAGCCATCAGGGATCATACAGCCAACTCAGCCCCCAGGACACTGGAAATTGAGTGTTGGCTAGATCTGTGCCCTGGCTGTGGCATCTGTGTAACTGTATGTGTATCTGTATCGGCATGTGTATCTGGAGAGCTGCACAAACTTCCATTCTTGGTGATTTCCTGCATCCCTCCAGCAGACGCTGTGTCTAGAACTTTGTATGATTTAGCTGAAACAGTGAAAGAAATTTACACCTTAGTGAAGAGATGTCTCTCTACCTGCAACAGAGTACTCTTAATCATAACAATTTAATCATATGCCGTGGTAGACACAGACTCTCTAATTAATGAGGGTGAGCAGGAAGCCTTTTGGGAGTGCACGTTATCTTCTTGCTGATGTTGGCACAGTGCTCTCTACACCTCCCTGAAGGAGACACTCATGTTTTTTACAGGCCTCTGCGAGCTAACAGTCTGGCCCAGTATCACATTCCCCCTGCCTCTTTCCTTTTTAACCTTGACTTTAATCCCCTTTTTTAAGGCAGCTCAGAGGGTTTGTACGAAGGCTGGTGGTCCGGTTCCCTCATGTTGATAGATCAATCACTCCCACACATCACTCCTACAGAGAGCAATTGAAACGACCAGCAACCACCACCTGCCCACTGCAGCCTTTTTTATGTCCTGGAGCATCTGCAACATTGTCATGTAAAGCAAAAACATCAGAAAACACTGAGAGAGAGCATTAATTGAGACGGGGAAAAAACCCCAAAAGATAAGGTTAAACTGGATAGGCCAAGGCCGATCAATTATCAGTAGCCCAAAAAACAACAGAGGGGATGCGCAGAGAGCACAGCCCCCTGCGAAATACTTACTTCCCCCAGGTAGGCTGTCTCTGTCGAAGATACACAGCTTGTACCCAAACTCATTCTCCAAGACTCCCCTCAGCGTCAGCAGCACAAATTCCTCCTCCTCCGCATTGCGTGCGTAGGACACGTACACATCGTACTCCTTCCCGTCTGAGCGTTGGGAGTGCAGAGAAACACAAACAGCAGAAGAGATGCTCGTGATACTGCACACGCTGAGCCTTTGACTTCATGGGAAAAGCAGACGCGAAGGCTCTCTCTGAGCCCAGGTTAAGACTCATCGATTTCCATAGTTACAAGACAGCAGCGCTGCTGCTCTGACGACCCTGAACACACAGGTACTCACACTCCTGGGTTGCTGAGAGGCTTGAGACCACAGCAAGATGACCAACCCGTTCAGTTCAGGGTCCTTTTGTCTTTTAACATCTCTGGCGTTGCTTCCTCTCCCTGCTGTCAATCCATATAAGCAATCCCACCAGACAGAGACTTGCACCCTGCCTACGCCCTCCAAGAGCCACCCTTGGCAAGTTCACACCACAAGCTGCAAGGGCTCAAACACGCTCCTCAGAGGAAGAAATCTCAGCTCAGAGTCCCAAGAGATGAACTCACTAGCACAGGGAAGCTGTAGAAGAACTGAGGACAGAAGGGTGATTTCCAGATCCATTCTTTTGGATGCCTTAACACATTTTAAAGCAAATCACCCTGGATTTGTGAATCCTTACATAGAGTCACCAGAGAAAACAGGGACTTACTGAAACTTGATGACTTATCTTGACCATCTAGATTGGATGAAACAACTAGCCATCAGCAGGGCAGTGCCCCAGAGAGCCTGACATGTCCATGCTTCACTTCTGGAGAGAATAGAGAGGACTTCTCTCTGCTTTTCCCAGTCCTAAACCTGACTCCTCTTGCTCTAAAATGACCCACACAACTGAATGCAGGTATAGAAAAGGAAGGTCAGAATGTCATTAGGCTGTGAAGAGGGTTAAAAATAGCTAATATAAAAATTCCTATATGAAAACGAAGGGTTTGGTCTGTGGCAGGATAAAACATTTAACTCCTTTAACTCCTTACCTAGGACGGTTTCATCTGTTCCAAAATGAGCCCGATAGAAGAGGACCATTTCAAGCCAATAAACGTGATAGATGACTATCAGCACCACAATGAGCAGGATGGTTGCCCCCAGTCCACAGGCCAGCTCCACGGTGTACTTCGGTGCTACAACTGGGTTTGGAAAGAAATAGGGAGTCTGGTTTACAGAACAGGCTGGGCTTGAGCTTGTGTCACATGCAGCCAAACATCATAGAGGAACAGCCAAGAGCCAAACTGGCCCTTCAGAGGAAGGTGGCCAAGCCAAGGCTTTTCTGGCAGGACACAGGATGGCTGGCCACCCTGGAATCCCCATTCTGGGTTACTGGGTCTTGTTAGGTTGACAGAGTAAATCAAAGCACAGGCTGGACTTCTGTCTCTGAGCGAGAGCCTCGGAGTAGCCAGATGGTAGAATGACCTTTTGACAGAAACCATCCGCACAGTCCAAAGCCAGTTCATGAACTGATCTTCTCAGCAGTATGTGCAAGGTCTTGGGGCAACACAACAGCACTTACTTCTAGGAGAGCCAACCAAAGCTCATCTGCAGCAAAATAAAGACAATGGCTACCGTTTTCCCTCCTCATCACACACACAGTTCTCGTGGCTTGTCCCAGACCGACACCCAGGATATAACTAATCACGACCTGATTGTTTTCTACCAGGAAAGAAGAATCAGCGTTCATTAAAGAAAAGCCGTAATGCTTGCAAACAAATAGGACAATCTGTGGACATCAAGCCAGAACATCACAGGTTCACCCCTCCAACTCAGACAGTGTCTGTCACGCCACTGCTGCTTCTTTGTACTAGGGATGGAAAATAACTCTTCTAACTGTATCCCTGGGCAACTGCTTTTATGGTGATTCAGGTAGCAGCCAACACGCACAGTGGCAAACTGCATGATAAAAGAATAGCAGTGAGTGGAAACATCACCAAATTCCAAGATTTAAGAAGTTTTATTAGAAACTGAATTACAAAAAAGAAAACAGAAGGAATTTAACAACTTTCATTAGGTGATGAGCAGCAGAAGTACACGAGAAGGAGAGGGAAATCATCCAGAAAAATCAGGGAAATGTATATAACTTAATGTAATGAAGGAGCTGGAGCCAACATACATAGCTACTTGCTAAAAACTGGACGACAAGTGCTGAGGGGATAGGTTCTGGCATGCTTGATGTTCCTATGCGCAGTGGGATGTTCTGCAGTGAGCTTAGCTTAAGGTTGCTCTGCCAGCAGTGGTTGGGGATGGTTCTTGCATTTTGCTGTGGAACAGAGCAGAAAGGAGGGGAGGTGAGTAACCAGGACTGCTCAGAGCAAACCCACTCAACTGCCCAGGAGGAGACAGAGGAAGAAGAGATCAGTGTTCCAGGAAACAGCATTTAGGTACTGCCGTATAGAGAAGTAAGGTGAAGAATTTATATTCGCTTCCGTTACATGTACAAATGTTATCACCTCAGAAGAATTATGTATGTAGGATGAACACACTGGCAGATGGTTTCAACCCTTCTCAGTTATGTGTTTGGTCTATTGTTCCTTCCTAATGATGAAAAGGTTTGTCTCAAAGAAATGGGACTGAAAAGGAAGGAGGACAAGTATCAAGAAGGAAGAGAAAGAGCTCTTCCAGTAAAGACCTCAGTAAGCCTTCCCATGCTAATAGGGCAGAGTGGGGGAAGAAGGTGTCTGGCATGAGCTACACAAAGCAGGGCAGTGCCCCTTCGCGGAAGGGGAGGTCCAATTTACAGTGAGCAGGTGTTGAAGCTCTAGATGACATTGCTAAGGAGGCAGAAATATCCACCTTAATCAGGAAGCCTTACACACCTATAGTGAAGGGCTAAGTTCTTACTACTGAGAGGTGGTCAGGGAAACAGGAACAAAATCTTTGATGAAATAAAGATGCAGGAAAAAATCTACACTGAATAGAGTTGGATCAGTCCATAGCATCCATGCTGAGATGGCTGTATATAGACCGGAGCATCATCACAGCAAGGAGTAAAATCACAGAGCATCATGGTGAGACTGTCTCATTTGATGAAATCACTTGATGAAATACAGCAAGAGAAAGTGTAGGGTCCTACATCTGGGCAGGAACAACCCCAGTTGTTCCAGTATAGGTTGGGGAACGATCTGTTAGAGAGCAGTGTAGGGGAAAGGGACCTGAGGGTCCTGGTAGACAGCAGGATGACCACAAGCCAGCAATGTGCCCTTGTGGCCAGGAAGGCCAATGGCATCCTGGGCTGTGTTAGAAGGGGAGTAGCCAGTAGGTTGAGAGAGGTCCTCCTGCCCCTCTACTCTGCCCTGGTGAGACCGCATCTGGAATATTATGTCCAGTTCTGGGCCTCCCAGTTCAAGAAGGACAGGCAACTGCTGGAGAGAGTTCAGCGCAGAGAAACTAAGATGATTAAGGGAGTGGAGCATCTCCCTTATGAGGAAAGACTGAGGGAGCTGGGTCTCTTTAGTCTGGAGGAGACTAAGGGGTGACCTTATTAGTGTTTATAAATATATAAAGGGGGAGTGTCATGAGGATGGAGCCAGGCTTTTCTCGGTGGCAAACAATGACAGGACAAGGGGCAGTGGAATCAAGCTGGAACACAAGAGGTTCCACTTAAACTTGAGAAGAAACTTCTTCTCAGTGAGGGTGACAGAACACTGGAACAGGCTGCCCAGGGAGGTTGTGGAGTCTCCTCCTCTGGAGACATTCAAAACCCACCTGGACGCGTTCCTGTGTAACATCATCTAGGTGTTCCTGCTCTGGCAGGGGAATTGGACTACATGATCTTTTGAGGTCCCTTCCAACCCGTAGCATACTGTGATACTGTGAAGCGATGCAGTATGACAGCAATAATATAATACAGCAGTGCGTGCAGAACAGTGTGTGTTGGGGAAAAAGGCCTGATGGAATTACTTGTTCCCCTGCTGTTTTGCAGGGAAAGGCTCAAGGCAGAGCAGGAAGCCCTCTCTGAACACACCTCATTTCACACCCATGCTCTGCAAGTGTTTTACCTTTCATGCGCACTATGGCTTGGCTATGATCCTCGCCTTTGGCGTTTCTGGCATAGCAAGTATAATTCCGTTTCAAGTCTTCTGCTGTGGCTTTTGCAACTGTTAGAGTCCTTATGATAGTTTTGTCTTCAAAATCTCTAGTAATTTCACTGTAAGAGAAAAACTAGAGCATCACATATGTGAAACTGCAACAAGTTCTTAGTGACAAGTATTCCTTTCCCTGACGTAAATCGATTCTTTCTCATAAAAAAAAAACCCACAACAAAACCTAAAACAAAGCCAGTTAAGCTGAAATATATAAATCGATATACATTTCAGATTCTAATACAGCTGCAGCTGTTGCTTTATCTGGTTTTCCTTAATACTTATTTTGCCACTCAATTTTCTCATTGCAGCTGTGTTACACTGCATTTCAGAAATAAAGTTCTTGCTTACAAAGCAACAAGATCTCATGAACTCAGTATGCAGAGGCCACGTCACATTCCCTTTGCAACCCTGGATGAATCACTCTGTCTCCCTCTACTTGAATTGATCATCTGCAAAATGGGGATAATAGTGCTTCCTTTCGCTTTTTCTTTTTCTACGTAGGTTTGCAAACCGACTGGAGCAGCGATTGCCTTCTGCATGTAATTCAGCACCTAGGAAACGGGACTTTAGATACAAATGAAGGTTCACATTACTACATTACCTGTGTGTCACTTTTATCTTGGAGTCTGTGATGTCATCTGTGTTTTTACCATCTATGGTCCACCACACCTCAGTCCGGGAGTCCTTCAAGAAGGTGAAGAAGACCTCGCAGGGCAGAACAAGGTCCTCTCCTGGAAAGAAGACCATGGTGAGGTATTGCAAAGCAGGAACAGCATAACTCTGACTTTTGTGCTTTCCAGTGATCCTACCAGCCTGAGCTCTCACTCCCTTCAGGAGGGAATGAGGTCAGCATCCACCTTCAGACATCTGGTAACAGTTTAACACCCTGGATGTGTTTATCACAGCTGAATACATAGGAAAAAAATATCCTGCCTTCTCAAACGTGTTACAAATTCCTTGACTGCACCAAGTGACCCACACAAAAGGATGCTCCATGCCAATCACTTCCTTAGAAAGCCAGGCAGTATTAATCAGTCCCCCTGCACAGGAGACAGACGCCATAAAGCAAAGGATCCAGCCCCACAAGAGCATTTTGGTGCGAGAATACTCTTTCAGGCTTCCCCTCAAGATCGGCTTGAGGGTGTGAATAGCTTTGTGATCAGCCCGTAAGTGATTTTATCTTATAAAGTGTCTATGGAAGAAGTCTGACATTTTAAGTCTGATGTTTAAGTCTGACTTTTAGGCGAAGACTCTGCTGCTAATCATTGGCATCACTTTTATTAGATGGGACGTGATCCATTCAATATAGGGAATTGCTCCAAAGAGCTATCAGTCTAAACAGATGGGGTGGGAGACGGGGTGTGGCACCCCCTTACACAATGCTGTGAGGCTGGCAAAAGGAAAGCTGTCCTTGACTAGGAAGTAAGCAGCCAAAAAGGGAGAGGAGATGAGCAAGCAGTGGCCAGCAGGCTGAAGCCACTGAGAGGCCGAATGAGGGAGGGCTGGAACAAGCCACAGCCAAGGACAGGGCTGAGACAAGGTCTCCCTAAGGTTTCCCTAAGCAGCTGAGTGTCTCCATTTCATCTGCTTCTGCAGCTGCAGTCCTGCATGTCTGTGCCTCAATATCTTTATTTATGCTTGCAAAACCAACCTTTTATATCTGTGCTCTCCTATCCTGGCAGAGAACTAGCCCCACACTCACTGTCTACCAGGTAACTCATAGCAGCTCATGTGCTCTGCAAGGGCAAGGGCTGGGGATGCAGTCCCCATCCCAGCAGGAAGGCTGCCAGGGCAGCAGTAGCAGCGAGCATTGCAATTTACCTGCTTCCACTTCGTAGACAATTTCCTCAATCGGAGAGGTGAATTGTGGTGGCAAGGCCCTGTTCGGAGATCCTGCGGGAGAGAACAGACAGCCCCATCATGGGGACCCGGACTTCATGAGATCCTGGGGTCCTTGAAGACTCGCACATGATGCCCTCATACCCTGCTGCACGTGCCCCAGTCTAACTGTTGATACAATCCTGCTGCAACTCCATGCAAAGATCTAACCCTCATCCCCAAATTTAGGGCCAAACTCAGATTTTGAGGCTCCTTTGAAGTTTAGGTAAGTCTAAATACAAGTTTTTGGGCCTCTCACATCAGAAGAGCTCCATATCCCTCTCATCTCCCACTCAACATCTCCTACAGTGCACAACCTGTACCAGTTGCTTTTTATTGTTGCTTCTGAAAATCAAAATAGAAACATCATTTCCTGTCACAAGCATTTAATTCAGCTCTTCAAGCAGCAATTGCCACAGGACTCAGCACGTGCTCTGTTGTTCACTAGGTTCTTAAGCTCTGTCCACAATTCTCTGCCAGGTAGGCTGAGGCTCTGTGCCTGGGATAGACCCATCCAAGCACTGGGCTGGGTAACTGGAGCCCTGGCTGGCTGAGTAACAGTCTCAACCTCAGCACACGAGGCTGTGAGATTGCAAGAAGACTGAGACAAGTTGGCTACAATGAGACAGTCTCACAAATAATGATGAGAAAAGGGCACCGGACACAAAAAAATAAGTGCCAGGGTTATGCATCCACCTGCCAGCAGAGGGTAGCCCTGGCCATCTCACGGGCTGTGTCTCACCAGCCAAGCCTGGTCATTCTCTGCGCTGTTTAGGGCACTCGACATGGTGGTGGGTAGGACCTCCAGTGCAACGCGTTCTGGGCAGTCACACGAGGCTGACCCCAGCAAGCAAAAATCTATCACATCAGTTGAGTAATACAGATTCAGCAATGCAGATCCACAACCACAAATGGATCTTGTGACGGATTCGGATCTTGTGACGGATTCTTCTGTCTGTTTTTACCACTTCTCCAGTTATCCAAATTCAATTTTACATATTTTAAAGTCATTCTTACCCACCACCTTCATCTTTATGGTTCTGGTGAGATTATAGGTTCTTCCATGGTCCTTGAATGTCACAACACAAGTGTAATTCCCTTTATACGCGCTCCGCACAATGTGGATGACAAGCCTGGTTCCCTGGGGGTATCGTTCACTGAAGGCATCCACCAAGCTGCAGTTCTGGAGTCAGGCAAAAAAACACTTGAGATTTGGGATTCAAAAGGTTTATGGTTTAAATATTGGTTAAATGCTACTACAAAGATCTAATTTTAAACTATGAATATGATACTTGGGATTGCGATGTAGGTCAGACCTAAATCCCACAAACTTCGAGCATGCTGGAATACAAACCGGTACGTTCACCTCAAAAAGGAGATGATGAAGCAGATGACCCTAACAGTTTTATCGCACTTTAAATGCAGACAATTTTATGAAAGAGATCTTTTTGATCCAGAAATATATTTGCATCCAAGGTGAGCACCTCAGCAGTGGAGAGTAAAAGTTAAAAAGAGAGATGGGAAGAAAATTATTGCGTACTCACAAACGGATACTAAGACTAAAGGACATGTACCCCATTGATGTCAGTGGGTCTAACTCTTTCAGGACTAATCAAACTACCCTGACTGACTTCAGCTGAGGACAAGGCCACAAAATTGATAACTGGTAAATGAGAATCTATAGTACAGAAACCTTAATAACTCTTCTATTTCTGTCAGGCAAGGCAGGAAAGCTCTGCCAAGTACCAAACTAGATTTCCCTTTTCAGAAAGGGGTTATGCAGATGACATCTTGATTGTCATAAAACCCAAAGATGTACACATTTTCTACGAGATTATTTCTGAATGGTACATTTCCCAATCAGATATATCCTAATGGGGCAGTTTAAGACAGGGGTCATATACCATTTTTAATGATTTTTATTAGGCATAGGATGACTTGCTGTCTGAGAAATTACTTCCATGGGGCTTTTCTGTTTAATTGTGCTAACTGATTGCTGAGATGTGAATTTCAATGAATGGTACAAGTAAAGCATTTCAACTACTGGAGTGAAACTGCTCCTCTTGGATACAAGACTAAAGTTTTTCCTGAAGGATTTTAGAGTTGTTGTTTTTTTTTCTTTTGGTGTGGCTTTTTTTTTTTTAATCAGCAGATATATTTGTTGCCAACTTTATTATTAAATTCCCTTATACAGGAGCTTCTATCTAGAAATCCAAAAGCACTTTATAAGCAGTTAGATAATCCAGCCCCATAACCCTCCAGCTGCACAACCCCTGAGAATTCTTTTTCTCTCTTGACTAAAGGCATCCACCTAGAGAAAAACATTGAGGTCAAAATTTAATAAAACTGAGCAGTAATTCTGTAGGCAAGAGCCTGAAGATGGCTAGAGACAGCCTAATTATCAGAGCAGTACAGAGGGTGGGTTAGGAATATCTCCATCTTCAGGAAAGAGGTTTGCTGGATTGTGTCAAACAGGGTACCCATGGTCCTTACAAAGGCCTGACGTACAAATTCATTTCCTGACCTCAGAGGATTTGGGGAAGGACGTTATTGTCATTAGCAGGTAGTTGCTTTGTTCTGGTTTTTTGTTTGTTTTTTTTTTACAGAAGAAGGAATACAAATCACAGTTTCCTTTACAGCAATAGTGACTGGCTCAGGCAGCAGATCAGGTATATTGCCCAGAGCTGAACTGTTTCATGCTAGAGTATTCTCCACCTCATGCTACAGTATCCTCTGTTTGTGCACACTGGTTAAAAAAAGTTTCAGTGTTAGCTCTCCATTCCCTTCCAAGAGCAGTTTTACCCTTCAACTCAATGGAAACAAAGCTCTTAAAATTAGTAAAGCTTCATTAACAGCTCCATCAGCGGGAAGACTGCGAAACATAGCTTCATGATTCTCAGGCCAACCATTGCTTTTTCAAGTACAACACTGCATTTCCCCACTGCCCAAATAAGCCCCCTCTTACCAAGTACCACTTGACAGTTGGTGTAACACTAGCAGGGTAAAACCCATCAATATCTGGACATACGATCTTCTCATTGGCATGCTCCAAGTAGAACAACTCCTCAATGGGTTTTATGGAACGGCTCACACAGGAGTGTTGGTCTTTTGGAACAACCTCCAAGGGAAATGCAACTTTGCTGCAGTAGGTTGTATTTCTAAAGACAGAGAAGGATAGGGCTGATTACTTGAAACTTGTTTGCTCCTGCAGCAGTGGAATGAAATAAAAATCGCATCTGCAATAATGAGCATCATAGTGCTGATGAGGTGTATACAGCCTTAGCTGACTCATTTGTAAGTGGGAAAGAAAACACCATGAGAGATGGCCACACTAGCTCACAAAAGCCTATAAAGATGACTAACAAGCAACATCCACTCCCCTGCTGGTAAAGCAGATAATAGGGTCAAAGACACGATGAACAAGAGACAATGCGAGGAAGATCAAAAAGAACTCTTGTGTTCAGCGCATAGCAGATGTTATGTTCATTTTGTACCATACTTAGAGACACTTTTAATTTCCTAGAAGTCTGAATCTCATGAATCTTTGCCAAATTAGCATGCAGTCAAAACATTACCCCTGCACATCTGAAGCTATTTTTACTCTAGACATACAGATCACTACTTAATGGTGAGTGCCTGTGGATTTTGCCATGGGCTCAGCAGTATTATTTTCATGGACACTTGCAGCTAGCAAGGAGAGGCATGCTCATTAATGTTTGCAAGGCTCCAAGCATTATTACGATGTAAATTGGCTCAGCACTGAGCAGCTTTATAATTGTAACATTCTTTTCCCACTAATGCTTATGTAAATGGTCTTCTCCCTACAGAAAGATCTGGTGCTAACAGCACAATTTTCCCCGCTTTCATCAAAGTCCTTTGATTACGCTGAAGACATAGAGAAGCTGCACCACACCACCTACCTGAGCATGCATGTATAATTCCCGGTGTCATTGAGAAGAGCAGGCCAAAACCAAAGGGTGTCTTTCTCCTTACTGATGTGATTGTCCGGGAGACGAAAATTAATGGGCTCCTCCAGATCCCGGTCCTGCCCGATCCTGTACCAGATCAGAGTTAAGCCAGCAGAATGGGCTGTGCTGTAGTTGTACTTCAAGAAGGTCTCAAAAAGTGGGCATTTGATCTTGGCAGGTTCCCCATCATAAATCTGGATCTGCTTCATGGTGTCCACGCCCCAGTCATCGCAGCGTTCTGCAACCAGGAAGAACAAGGTACTTGAGCTAGCAGGCCTATAGCTGAAAACCAGTTCTGCCCACATGCCCCACAGCCCTTGGTACTGTCACCAGTAAAATCAGAGGCAAAACCGTAGCATTTTCAGTGAAAACAAAATGAGCTTTTAAAAAGCAGAGCAAGAATATTGTGTTTATTTCCAGAGAACCTGAAAACCTCCACTTTCATTTGCACATCTACGTATCTTCCAAGCTATCTATCCCCCATCAGGAGGAAAGGACAGGATATTCCCACGTAACACTAAGCTTCCTAGAGAGGTCCAAGAAAATTCAACTCTAAGATCTTGTGTGGAAAGATAAAATTTGGATGAAAACAATGCTAGAAGTGTGTGTGCATCCATGCACGGTGACAGGGAAGATGGAAACAGAGGCATTGAAATAAGAGAGGAAAAAAAATAACAATGTGAGCATCAATCCTCCTTTAGAGCTATGGGCCATTGCCACGGCCAGAAGCAGCTGGTCCTGGGAGCAAGGACTTGTCTTTTCCGTGACGGATTCATGCATCTGTGCACGCTATGATAACACAAAGAGTACAAGCACTAATATGTGACACATAGTGACTCTTTATACTGAAGTTTGGGAATGGATGCTGAGGGGCAGAAGAGACAGAACGGAGGAGGTGGCAGCAGGTTCTCTTGGGGATCCCCAGGCAGTCCCCAGGTGCAATCCCCAGGCACAGTTCAACAGGCTCAGTGTGGCTCACAGCAGACTCAGTCTGACATAGAAACTGGGCAGCACAAGGGAAAAAGCAGAAAAACAAAAAAACAACTGTTCGGTGCCTTTTTTCCTCTTTTTAGTCTTAATTTTTTCCTGTCATTAGTGAATAGCTCCAGAATAAACAGCAGTCAAACCTCATTTCTCTCCCGAGTGCTCCTTTCCACTCCTCCTGCCCATCAGGATGCTCCGTCACAAAGGGACTTGAAGCAAGCAAAGCACAGTACCAGGGTGTCAGCAAACCTGAGAGCAACCTACACTGCCAGCGCCCGCTGAGACACACGGAGAAGCTGCTGTCACTGCATCTCCCGTGTCCCCGCGCTGACGAGGCTGAGCGTGGCACGGCTCGCTTCTCAGCGTGCCTCTTGTAGGTGCTGGGAGGCATCAGCTGGAGCAGCCTGATGTCTGAGAGCCCAAACCGAGTCAGGCAGGAGAGGGGTGTGCTGCCCGCAGCGCTCGCCCGGAGCAGTGTCTCAGCATATCACAGCCACCCCAGAGAGACGACGCTGCAAAGCCTCTCCGGTTTGCAGATACTAGAAGATCTCAGAGCGAGAGGAAAAACAGAACACAATATGCTCTTTGAGCCCAATTCTTCTGAACTGACTTCACAGGCCCAAAGCAGAATTTCTGGCTTTTTATCTTCCTTAAATAGACAGTGGGATGTATCTTGGCCCCAAATTCATACTTAATTAAAAAAAGCAAAGAGATAAACCTTTGAGAAGATGACCCACAGTGCTCAAAGGCAGCAATGCTAACTCCCGTGGCTCAGCAATGGTTAGTCACAGTGAGGAAAAATCTGGGCCAGTAAGAATAGAAATGTTTTCTGGCGGGTTTACACATAAACATAAATGCAAACTGCACTGCTCCTTCTGTGGTACGCCCAATGCCCATATGACAGAGTGCTACTTCTGGAGGAAGCGAATGAATTAGGCTAGGAGCAGGCAGTGAAGCTACTCAGAGTGCAAGTATTTGCCAGTAGGAACCCCAAATTCAAATGGCTGGAGAGTGCCATCGCTCATCATCTGAAAAAACATCTAAATATTTCTTTCAAAAGTGCATATTGTCATCCCGTACAGCTGCTAGCACAGGCAGCGCCAAGGCTCATTTTGAAAGACCAAACCACTACTGGAAGCCCTATACCATGGGAAGGTGCATAGTCACCAGTCACCACCATGGTCAAGGCCAACTGGAACCAGTACGCTGCTTTATGCTTGTGGAGTCAAGCTACTGGATGAGGCATAGTGAAGTTTCCACAGAGTGGTAAATGGGACAAACAAGCCTGCCAGAGACTGCCTGCTAATTGCATGATAAAGCACTTACTACTATTCATGTAGGGAGGGCATTTGTCTTCATAAAGGCCTTCCCTCTGAAAAGAGCAGACCTGGGTCTGTAAATCAGGACACCCGGGTTCCCTTCCTGGCACCTGACTTTGCTGTCTCTCAAACTGCATAAATGAAAATTGTCCTTATTACTTCAAATGGCAGGACTGCAGAGGAAGAAAACTAAAACAGCACTGAACCTCTTGGAGTCAAAAATCAATGAAATTTGCAATCATGAACAGCTCTCACATTTTGCAACAGCTCATAAATCAGAATTGTAAAGCTACTTACCCGTTCTACCTGAATGAGTTTTTGAAAATAAATACAACCCCTTTTTTTTTTTTTATTTCCTAGATTATTCAAAATCAATGTACGGGCTTTGTCTTCTCAGCTGCAGAAGAGGCAACTGTTATTGTTCATTACTGTAAGAGCTGTACCTGGACATTCTGTCTTAGAGCTCGCTAATTCTCCTGTCTTCAGGAACACTGTCACACCGAGCAGCCAGAGGTCTCGAGATGGTAGCCTGTGCTTGCCACCCTGCTGGGTCAAGCCCAGACAGGCAGCTGCACTCCCCACACACATGTAAAGTGGAGAGGATGCTTGCATTATTATTGCTATAATTTTATTTGCATCCAGCAGCTCCTGGCAACACTCTGTTCCCTTCTACTATTTGAACCTTTATTGGGTATTCAGAGCCTATTTGCTGCTAACAGCGGCATGCAGCTACTTGGGTGACAGTCTAAACTGGAGATAGCCTGAAAAAGAAGTGCATGACTTCACACTGAACCTCATCGGCATAAAGCAGCTGCCACTATGAAAAAAAATTACTATGTCTAAATACACACACATATTGATATATCCTGATTCCAGTAACAATATCTGAAAGAAGACGCAAGGACCCAGCTCTAATTGTGGGAAATCGCACTAACTTCTACAGTGCTGTGCCCATGTACTCACACTTGTTTTCAATGCCTAAGCCTAGGAAGTGAGTTTCTCTCTCAAAATGTTCCCTGTACAAAATAGCCACTGGAGCTAAGAGCAGCTCCTGATTAAATAGAGTGGGGTCACCATTCACACTGATTTCAGAGGCTCACTAGCAAATGGAAACCAAAGAAGAGATGAGGGAGCTGTATTCAACTCCACGGCCCCTTCCACGCTGTGGCAGAGGAAGAATGATGCACATAACCAAGGGATACAATAAAATTCTCTGAAAATCCACCATCCCACAATTGCATGTTCCTAGAAACACCTCTGCAAAACACTTTTGAAAGAAGCCATCTCTTTCTCTTTACCAATGAGACGTACTGACCTCTTGTAGTGCTGGGTGCTCTGTACCCACACAGCAAGGCAGCTGACGGTCCACAAAACCTACTCATGACAGACAATGAAGGAAAAAGGCAAGAAAAGGTCCCATTTCCATTGCCCTGCTTGGCAAAAGGGAGGAGGATTATACAGGCTGGAGGGACGCTGCATGGCAGAAGGAAACACTCACCTCCGGCACTGGAAGAGAAAGCACAGGCACAAGGGTCAGGTAAGGATGCCCATCTTGATTGCATACGCCCCGAAATAAAGACACGAGCGGGCTGCTGCTCCTCCCTGATGCACGCTGGGAACCAAGTGAACTGGCAAAGTTAACCTCAGATGTCCTCCTTGCCCAGACTGTATATTGCAGTCCATGTTCATAGGGTTATCTACCACTGGTACAAGGGACAGAAACCTTTTCTGTTACAGAAATAGCCAGGTCTGTCCTGTTTCTGAATCTGGAACTACAACACCCTTAAACACCAGGCATCCTAAAACTTTCTCAGAAGCCAAACAAAGCTGAACAAAGCTTTTCCAGAAGCAAAGCAGAAAATGCAAGAAGAGAGGAGAAAAAAAAAAAGTATGTTGCTCAGCTGTATAAAGATGAAAGCAGATATTTCTGGAAACCTCTCCCAACTTTTCACTTATTACACTGATTTATGTCCTCTGAAATGTTCCTGAAGCACCCGTTACAAGCACCCACACAGTTAAACCAAATAGGAAATCGGTGCAATTATTTGGATTTTTCAAGAAGAGATAAACTGCTTAACCTGTGGATCAAAAAAGAAAACCAGAGCAAGGCAATATCAAGGAATGCCACCCCTTTTTGTTCACAGTTTGGCAGTTCTATGTAGTCATTTTTTAAGTACCTCCATTTAAAAAAAATTTTCAACCACCAAAATTCTACCAGCTCCACATCACCTCCACCCCTTTCCTCCCCTGGGGCTACGAACAAAGGCTTCCCCTAATTAAAATTTCTGTAAAAAAAAAAAAAAAAGAGGCAACCTTATGAGAGGCCAGCACAAATTACCCTGTCATTTGCCAGACTGATGAGCCCTTCTTAATCATCTCTAATATTGGGAGGGGGCCTGCCTTGCATGCAAACCAGGACCTGAAGCCATCGATGGTGCTGGTGGAATGACATGGCAGACCCCTCTGCCTCACATCATTTCAGCAGCAACATCAGATGGGGCTGCACTATCTCCAAAGCTTTCTACTTTCTCCATCCATCCCTGCTGCACTATCTTAAAGCAAAGCTGATATGAGCCAGCCTCCAGCCAGGGAGCACAGCCAGGCCAGCGGTTAGCTTGATGTGAGAGTCAGCGTCAATAAGGCAGAAAAAGCTGGTCACACAAAGCGATTAAGCGAGAATTAATCATTACTGCCTTAAATTATTTCCCCCCCCAACCTCTTTTAAGCTCACAGCAGTCAGTGAGAAGGAAGCGGGGCTGAATGGAGGAGTTGCTCTGTGAGCACAGGAGGTACCAGCTGTGACCAGCAGCCAGGCGTGGGTGCGTTTTATGCCAGTGCCAGGAGCACTCACTCCTCCACTGCATCTGGGTTTTTCCTTTCGCACGAGTCCTGCACAAGACCAGCCCACGCTCCTTGGCTGTGGACTTTGCTTGGCAGCTGAGCAACCAGGCAGTATTTCCTATGTGGTCTGTATCCCATCTGACCACACAACGTGGTGGACAGAGGGTAGCATGGAACAAAACAAATGAGAGCATCATCCCTAAACTGGGAAAAAAAGGAGAGACCCACACATGTAGACATTGATGGGAAAGACAGAGAACTTGGGTTAGCCATAGCCAAAATCATCTAGCTTTCACCATTTCCTCCACTGTTTCTGCAGCAGCAATAGTGCTCAGAGGATGCTTAAAAACTAGTTGTAGCTCAACACTGCCTTCAAGGCTCAGCCTGGGAGCTGCACAAACTCTGCAGGAATTTATAATCTGACTACTGCTGGAAACACATCAGAAAAGGGCCTGTCGGAAGCTCATTGCCTTCCTCCCACAGCCTCTCCAACAGAGCAAGTAAGGTTAAGAGGTGCCGGCACACAATTCCCCATTGCTGGCTCCGCTGCACAGCTCACAACCCAGCCCCATCTGTGTGGTTCTGCTGCAACAGCACCAGTGATGTGATTTTCCACTTCTCCCAGGTCTCACCACATTCCTGCTGTGTTGCACTGAGCTGTGGTGCCCCTCTGAAAGCAGTTCCACCAGACGCTGCTCACAAGGATGGAGCCTTACATTCTCTCTCTTCCCCCTCACGGCTTTTATCATTTCAATAGACAGGACAGCCAGGAAGAAGAAAAAGGACTTTCTGTTGCAGAATGGCTCATCATTTCCAAAAGCAGTTATATATTGTGGTTGTTTAACTTTAGATCCTGAAAGTCTAGTTTAAACAGGTGTGACAGTCTGTTCCTCTGCCAAATTCAGGGAAATCAAGCTGACTGCATAAATTTCACAGAATCACAGAATTGTAGAGGCTGGAAAAGACCTCTGAGATCATCAAGCCCAACCTATTTCTGTTGACTTCAGAGTAAGCAGCCAAGGCACGACATCCAAACCCGATGATTCTGTAATGGAGCCCACAGCTTCTGACTCTGAGTTTCCCTATTTAATCAAACACAGCCTGTAACATGGGGAGGGGTAGTTGCTGTTTGTGGCTTTTAAGACTCCACCACAGTGAGCTCCATGCCTTCACTCTCTATCTGTATAAAGATGTGTTTACTGTATGTGGCACAGAGTATTTTGGTTACTTC